GAGGTAGTCGTTTGTCATGACTTAAATCCTCACATTTTCAAAGGTTATTTGTGCTGATTGTTTCACACAAATATAAATCCTAATAAATAAAAATTGCAGGATGAAACGTTTAAATGATTTCTCCTAAATTGAAGCCAAATAATAGGATAGCTTAGGAAGTCACTGAAGTTCTCCTTCGGATCTGTGGCATCCTCTAGTGTTTCCTCCTTTGGACTCCAAAATAAAATGTTCCAAATTTGAACCAATCCCCCTTCACACTTCTTAGTCCGATATCTTTGAAATGTCCTTACCATTTGAACCCCTTGAAGATAATTTTTCCTTGATTTCTATCGAGAGTATTCTTAGGTAACTTCAATTATCTAAGATGTAATTAACTATAGGGGCTTGCCCCTATAGGAAGCTTATCCCGAACTCAGCACAATATAAACCTTATTTAATTCCTTATATTAAATAGGGGAACTTGTCGGCCAATACATTGGTTTCGCAGACCAAACGGATGTCATAACTTTCTTTAGTTTATTTGATCGAACCTCACTCTCAATTCTTGCGTTCATCCTTCGGGATAGATACATGATTTGAGATAAAGAGCTCTTTCATCTAAACTATGAAAATTATGGGGTCAGTTTGACTTCATCTTTTTTTAAAACTAAATTTTTTTAAAAAAACGTCCTTCCGAAGCAGGCAACGGGATTTCAATTCCGATGATCGACAGCTTCTTACGGGCAAACCCCACACCAAAAATAGTGCCGACAATGCCTAAAACAGACCCTAAGCCAAAGGATTTTTGGCAAACGAGCTCAAGCTTAAGCAAACTCCAGCTCAGCTTGACAGTATCACATTATCTTCACATAAAATTGATTGATAATTGTCAAAATTACACCTACTAAAATTAAATAACATATATTCAATATTTATTGACTAATTCTTCTAGCTACTAAGTATTCTCTATTTTTTTTTAATCTTTCATTTATTTTAGTGGCTATCTCGCTAATTAGAAGTATATTATTTAGAAAAAATATACACCAAAGCACCTTAATTTCAATATCTTTTATAAACATCTTCAATAATCAATATAAAACATTTGGACTCAATGATGCTCCTTCGTATAAAACCAATATAACTAAAACTATTAGGCCACAGCTATTTTTAATACTAGTCGATACTCCATGACACATCTTTAATAATATCAACATGCATTTAACACAAACTTAAGTCTTAATTTGTGCTAAATCAAGCCTTGTGATACTTAATCATATAACTTCATAATAATATTAAAATCATAAGAAGATTTTTTCTCTCTATAACATCCATTAATTATATTAGCACAAAAATTATTTCCATAGAAAATCTTTTTTGGCCTGAAACAAAACTGGTTTCTGCCAACAATTGTTATTTTTCTATCTTGTGTTATATTACTATATCCCATATCTTATTATGTAATTTATAAATTCAATTCCTTAATAGTTAGCATAAACTTGAACATCCATTTAGTTTTCAAAATAATATTGGAAAAAGCTATAAACTACCGCAATATTCCTCCTAACCATCCAAATCACAAATGGTACCTCATTTCAGCCAAAAATATCATATTTATACTTCTTGCTCAGGGTTAATTCCACTTCATTATTTTGGATAAATATATGATATACTTCAATATATTGTTTATTCTGATTTTCCAAAATGTTTTCTCTTTGAAACTCATTTTAATAATTTCACAAAATAACATTTCTACCTTTCCCTAAAATCCTATTAACATTACTTCTAAAGCATTAACTTAGGGCCCATTTGGGGCAGCTTAAAAGTGCGGGCGGCGTTTTCAAAACGCCGCCTTGCCATTTGGATCGCACATACCAGCTGTGTATTTAAAAACAGGGTTTTCATTTTACAAAGGACGCGAGCCGCGGCCTCATGCCTGCGGTCGGCGTTTTGGTCGCATATGAAGGCTGCGTATTACTCTACTGCCCTCGCGGAAGAAGCCGCTCCTCGCTGCCCTCAAGGAAGATGCCCCTCACGGAAGAAGCCGCTCCCTCATCGCGATTCACTCCGCTGCTCCCTCATCGCGATTCGCTCTGCTGCCCTCGCAGAAGAAGCTGCTCCCTCATCGCAATTTGAAAGCTCTGCCCTAGCCACTCCCCCTTTTTCGACATTCCATCACTTCACAGTCGAAAGCTATGCCCCAGCCTCTCCCTCTCTCTCTTCATCGGCGAATGACACAAAGAAATATAGGTTTGTGTGAAGGAGCGAAGAGAGGAATATCGCAATCAAGGAGCGCGAGCAAGCTTCGATCCACGCAGAAGTTTCGAAGCAGATCGGAGCATGGTGGAAGATGGCCGTAGGAGTTGGTGAAGATTTTGATTCAAGTTGAGGTTTTGATGAACTGGGAATGAGATTAGTTTGGATTAATATTGAGCTCCGAGAATCATATTTTTTGAATTGGAAGGTGAAGTTGCAGTTCATGGATGCCATTTTCTCACCTTGAATGTTGAATGGGAAGAGAAAAAGTGTACATTTTTAATTCGTAATGTATTTACATATATACCAAATAAATTTTAATTTTTACATTTATAACACTCAAATCTTTCATACAACATAAAAAATATCACTCTTTCTAATGCACAGATAATGTGTTATAAGTGTACAAATCAAAGTTTGAATATTAGATATGCAATTACATCAGAATTGTGCAGCATGCATATAAATCTATCTAAAGCTAATAGCATTAATTTTTTTTTTATTTATAAATATATGTTTATATCAAACTTCAATTTTTACATATATGTCACCTTACCAATGCATATGAAAGGCTTGTGTGGAATAAATGTAAAAAGTAAAATTTGTGTTCAATATGTTAATATAATACATAGGAATTGGTTGGTATGTATGTAAATGTTTCCGTTTCTACGATATTCCAATCATATAGGTTTGCTCGAGATTTTGGGGTGTCAGAACCGGGCAACATCCGTCGTGATATGCTTTTACATTTTAAAGTCAATATTTTCAATTTTTTTTGTAATTTTAACATGTTATTTTTCTTTTTTTTTTTGTGTTTCATTATAATTCATATTAGCGTGTGAAGGTGTATTTTACAATTATATATGTAGCCATGTTTTTTTTATGTGATCGAAAATATTTGAGTTATATAAATATAACTCAACTCTTTTGTATTTTCATGTCTTAACATTTGAACTTTAATTTTACAAACTTGTCACATTCCATATGAAAATTTTTTGGTAGTCATATGTTGAATGAGTCTGAAGGGGGTTAATTGGTTCTAAAACATTGTTGTTTTGTTGAGAAAACTACAAATTTTGCGTGACAGGTTATTCATTTAACTAAAAAAGTCTATAAATAAGCTGTTTACAAAACACACAAACCAAACAGCTAAACAACTTATTCAGAATAGGGGCAGAATGGTCATTTATCCAGAATCAGCGGTCATTTATCCAGAATCAGCAGCTGTTTTCCAAACGCACAAACCAAACAGCCAATCAGCTTATCCGGATCAGTTGCTCATCAGCAGGTTATCAGAATAAGCTACTTATCAGCATAAGTTGGATAAGCTGCAGCTGCCCCAAACAGACCCTTAATCAAATTCATCTAAACTATCAAATGTCTTGACTTAGCTACTTTATATCTCGCTTTAGCATTCCTTAGTGCCATCTTAACATATAAATCATCAAAAATTATAACTTTGCTTACTACACTCTTTATAAAACTTCATGCTTCTAATAACTATAAGCCTAAATGGTATCAATTTTAATCAATCTCTAAAAATGTTTTTTTTTTTTTTTTTTTTTTTTTTTTTTTTTTTTTTTTTCTTTTAATAGCCAATGGCACTTAGTCACTTGACCATCAAGTCTCCTAATCAATATAATGACCTGTTTTTGACTATCATAGAACTTGAATTAAATTCTTAATAAAACTAATCATTTTAACATGTATATGATGGGGCGCAACAAAATAATTCTAATTTATTAGTAACCAATCTTGAAAATTTTAACTTCACTACCTTAACCTTTGGTTACTTTTGATTTTTTTCTTTATGTCGTTATGATATATAACTATAGCTATATGTTATGAGGTCACATTATTTTCTAAAATCACGTTATAAGAATTGTGTTCAAATATATCTTTCATTCTAATTAAAAGAAAAAAAATATATATATTATAATTTTATTGCACTTCTTTTGTGAGTGGTGTTCGTCGCATTTTATTAAATGTTTGCTACAGCCAGGTGACTCTGTTTTAAACTTTTGAAGAATAAAAGATTTCTTTATTTAGAAATGGGTCAAGAGCTTACAAATATGGTCATAGTCCATTTTAAAAAATGAATGTATTCAGTTCCAACAAAGGTATTATTCCGAGACTTGAAAGTTATTGCCTTCACAGATGTAAGTAATTGAAAACAAGTTTTATTTGGATCATCATCTCATTGCAAATACCAGCACCTCAAAAAAAAAAAAAAATGATGTCAGTTTAATGATAGACCTACAGTAATGCCAGTAAATGTTCCATCCAATTAAGTACCTGACAAAAATGTTAAGAATCTTCTGCATCCTATTTTACAAATGCTTTAGTTAAACTACCATCGCAATGCTGACAAGTGCATAACGCAAAATTGTGAACACCCATTTAAATATTTCAGCTTCTTGTAAAGTACGTCATTACACTATTTATAAAAAAACATCATAAAAGCATACCACTCTGCTTTTTCAGGCTCCATTCGCACAACTTCAGCAAAACCAGATAAAGCAGCCTCTGGATCAGTTTCAACCAGGCCTACAAAATAATTTAAAAATTCATTGTAAGACTTGAAAAGTATGTGCCAAAAGTATAAAGTGGCTAAGGATAGGTCAGGAGTACATAAGTAGTAGCAAGATAATGGTACAGCAATTCTACAGCCTCCAAGAATTAGCAAACCTCTCAAAAAAAAAAAAAGGAGGGAATGGAGAAATGTGTTCCTAATCGTTTATGCGAGCATAAAGGTAGCAAACACCTTTAGCAAAAAGGTTAACATATTAAAGTAGAATTAAGCTTGCAATTACAAGGTTATTTTAGATGTATGATATTATTAAAAGTTATATTAGAAAATAATTTATTCCTGTGAAAAGTTATGAAAAATAAATTATTTCTTTAGTTTAAGAGTTATTTTCTTTCCTATTTTATATTTATTTCCATGGATTATGAATTATTTCATTTCCTATTGTTGGATTTCCTATTTTATGTTATTTAATTTCACACCTAATAATTAATATGAATTGATTATTGGAGATATCAGGTAATATATATTTTCTTTCATATTATTTCATTTTATTATCTTTGATATTCTAGGATTCATGTAAGTGTTATTTATACCCCTTCTCATATCAATGAAAAAACCATTTTATTCAGCATTATTTTGAATTTCAACATAGTATCATAGCCAAATTCCCTAACCTAGCCGCCGGTCCTCCCTCCAGAGCTTTCAGACTCCCTTCCTGCCATCCTACTGCAGGGAGGGAGGGACGTTTTCTCTCCCTACCAAATGTCGAGGGTTTTTTTTATGTTCTCTAAAGAAGCATCCCTCGCTTACCTTGATCTTGCTTTTCTCTTCCTATGATCGTTAGATCCGTCGATGATTGTCAGCTTAAGCACCAGAGATGAGGGGTTGATCACGTAATAGCATGGATCTAGCTTATTCTCAATAAGAATTTGGTTGTTTTTCGCATCCAAAATAAGTGGGTCCAACCCGATCTGAGAAGCGGCGATTCCTTGTATGGCTTTCGCTACTGGCAAGCCAGAATGAGTCTTATTTGGGAGAGTCGAAGGCTTATATGAAGAAAAACACTAATTCTAACCCTAACCCTAGGCTTTGTAGTAGGCGTGAGGTCTCCACTCCTGCATCATTTCAGCTGAATCATCTTTGGCAACCCGAGCCCTCAAGCGAAATTGAAATCATAGTTTCAGAAGTTGGAAATGCTCATCTGCCTACGATGCCTAACAAGGAGTTGTTTGGGCAGGCTATGACTTCCACTCCAAAGGCTGCAATGGATTCCAAGAATCTTCTTGCTGGTATAATGAAGAAATGCTCGCAGATCTCATCTTCTTGCTGGTATAATGAAGAAATGCTCGCAGATCTCGGCGAGGCTAATGAAGCACAAGGGAGGTATGTGGTTCAATTCCCCAGTAGATGTGCAAGGAATGAGATTATATGATTACCAGCTGATCATTAAGTATCCCATGGATCTTCGGACAGTGAGATCCAGGTTTAAAAATGGCTTCTATAAGACACTATTAAATTTTTTCGAGGGCATTAGACTGAACTTTAACAATGCTCTCATTTATAATCTGGAAGCTCATAAGGTGCATAAATTGGCAGCACTGTTCCTCCGTAAGATTGAGGAACGAACTCCTTGGTTTGCTTACAAATAGACTTGAAAAATGTCTTTACAGAGAAGAGACCGGATGTATCCTTGGATGGAATCCGAACAGCCGACTTACATGCCCCTCTTCGTCGGTTTCTTCCCTGCTGCTAAAAGCTTTTTCCTGCAGCAGACTTTCCTCGGGAGTTTTTCCTGCATCAAGCCCTCCGCATGAATATTTTCTATAGTAGACACTCCTTCGGAATTTTTCTGCATCAACCTCCTTCAGAGCTTTTCCTGTAATAGGTCCACAAAAATTCTTCGTGCAGCAGGCACTCTTCCGGAGCCTTTCTCTTCATCAAGCCCTCATCAGAAACTTCTTCCTATATCAAACCCTCTGGAATTTTTTCCAATATCAGGCCCTTCTCAGGAACTTTTTTGTCACAGACCCTCCTCCAGAGTTTTTTCCTGTATCAAAACCTCCAGAACTTTCACTACAACAAGCCCTTCACTTGAATTCTTTGAGCAGCGCGTCCTCCTCCAGAGCCTTTTTCCTGTAGCGAGGCCTACCTCCTGAGTTTTTTTCTACAAATCATACCCTGCAGCTTTTCCTGTTGATTGTCTACTTCCTTGCAACCTCCCAGAAGCATTACTTGTAGCAGTCTTCCAGCTACCTATAGACACTGCAGGAACTGCAATCAAAGACAACCACTGTCAACTAGGAGTCAGTCATTTCCTATATGTTGTCTACTTTACTGCAAACTCCCCAACAACATTACATGTAAGAGTTTTTTTGTCTACTTACAGATACTGTAGGAATTGCAATAAAAAATAACCGCAATTGACAACTTCCCTGCAAATTCCCCTGCCAAATTACCTGAAGGTAGGCGGCCTTCCGCTTACCTACAGACGTTGCAAGAATTGTAGTCAAAGACAACAATAAGTATCTACTTCCTTGCAAACTCCCTTATAGCATCACCTGTAAGAGTCTTCCTCCTACCTACAAAAACTGCAGGAACGACAGTGAAAGACAACCGCAGTACGGGATGAAATATTCAAGTTCTACTTCATGTGATCTCCTTTGCCCATTGTTTGATATTTTCGAATCCAGGTTGAATAGTGTTTTCAATCATGTTTCAACTTGAGGGGAAGTATTTGAAGTTATATTAGAAAATACTTTATTCTTGTGAGAAGTTATGAGAAATAAATTATCCTCATATTAGGGGTTATTTCATTGCTTCCCTATTTTATTTTATTTTATTTATCTCCTAATATATGAATTGATTATTGGAGATATTAGATGATATATATTTTTTTCATATTATTTCTTTTATACTATCTTTTATATTCTAGGATTCATGTAAGGGTTATTTATATCCCCTCTCATTTCAATGAAAAAAACACTTTATTCCGCCTTTTTCTGAAATTCAACAACTAAGAATAACACTTAAAATAATTCCAAATCATTAAATGCATCTAAATTGGGTATATTGTGTCAAAGTTTTAAAGCACGCTTCATGAGCAAAGTAAAGTGAAACGGGCAGCGCTGAAATTAATTTACATTTTTTTTACAATTTTTAAGTTTTTAACTATTACAACACACTATTAGATATTGTTTGAAAATTAACTAGCAAGCTTACCCACAATCTTTGCCTATAAGTTATGTATCGTACCATATATTTTTTTTATTTTATATCAACTTTTAAGTCATACTTTATATTTTATAATTATTAATGAACATATTAATAGTTTTATATAAGCTACCAACACTTTGATTAATAAAAGTGTTGCTTGGCTCTGTGCTTTGCGCTTTGAAGCAAAAATAAAGCTTTGCACATCGTATTGTTCTTTAATAAAACTGGCTCTGATGCGGGACTACATAATTTACTAGACATCAGCTGTGATATGTGATCTCAATTATATAGAGGTCAACATAACTTAGGCAAGTATGATCACCAAATTATATTTCATATTAAATTTTAAAGACCTCATATATATTCCTCACCCCCTCTCACATTCCTTACTTTGTATCAATTGGTGGTATCAAATCTATTTTGCTTGCAAAAACGTCAACAACTTGACCTCCTTGTATTCACACCTCATCATGATTGTTTCACGTGACCTCTCCCAGTCTCTCCTCCTACATGCAATTCTCCAATTGTCAACAAAGCGCAGCATATAATACTCCATGCGCCACGCTAATACTTGTGCTTCTCACGTGCTTCACCCAACATCATTGTCTTATCAGCCACACACAACTTCAATCCCATAGTGCGCCTCACCTAACACCACATCCTCATTCATCCAATGCAAGCACCCTTGCATGTATCCTTGCTCAATTATCACTCATGTCCTCATCCAATTTCTCACACAAATTTGCTATCCCATGTGCACAATTGTCCCTCATGACATGTTGTATGCACCTACTCAATCCAGTCATGTGTGTCGCTCCCTCCAGTTCAGCCTTGCTCCCCCACTTGATTGGCACTATAGCTTATGTTCCCTAACACATGCAAACTCCATTCTCGATCTCATTCACACCACTTTCTTCTACCACTTGCATGCCCCTCACCCAATCCCAATCGTAGATGTGCATCTATTGATTGTATTTGCCTCTTAAGCATCACACAATCTCCAAATGATTCCAAAGTTCTCTATTTCCTAATGTGATCTCACACTAGTTGTAATTCATCCAATAGGAAGCATAATAATATTTTAGTATTTTTACTATTTATCTCATATCATCCTAGTCATTTGCACGTTTTGCATAAAAGTACTTGCAGAAAAATAATTGTTAATTATGAAAATCATAAGTCTATTGAAGACAAAATTGAGGTATGTAAAATTTAAACTAGGTGATAAAGTAATATTTTTTTGCATCCTGAAATATCTCCTATATGATATTTAAAGAAAATACTTGCTAGGAAAGCAAGGTCATTAGAATTATGCAATGCATTGGAACAAATACGTATAATTTGAAATTTTTTAGATGTTTTAGAATTAGTTCAATCCTAAGTAGATTTAATTTGACATCATATCATGAATTTCCAACCAAAAACTTGGATTCTTTACTTCGAAACTACCATTGGAGAGTATTGTTGTTTATAAAGAGTGTCATTGCTTTATAATCCTTAATTTCTATGTGAGATCTAGGTTAGATGATGGTTAATTTATTGTCTGCACATATCTAGCGTTTCATTTTCATCTAGAGTAGAAAATAAACATCTAAATTATAAGTTTATAATAGCAAATTTGACCTAGTGTATGTGATTTGGGGCATCTCATCCGATGTCTTGTATCACATTGTAGTTGTGCTAAAGGAACTGAATAGATGCCAAAAATTAATAGAATTACACTCACTTTTTGTTGCAAACTAAATATTGTAGTATCTCATTTGATGTCTTGTATCACATTGTTGTTGTGCTAAAGAAATAGAAT